AGTTTCAGAACCAAGATATAAACTAAGACAGTATAACCCAGAGCTACATTCAAACACTGCCCTGCTGTCTGGACAGCCAAATTCGTCCAGGGCCCTCTTAAGAAAGCCAAGCGTTAACGTTTCCATTAATAGGTGAAAAAATTAAACCCCACTGGTTACATGCCCCGTAAGAAATCACACGCCATCTACAGCCAGTGTCTCTACTTGGTCACTAAGGACCCACCTGTTCTTATACATAATCACAATAAGCTAATGCTACAGGCTTTCTCTCATCTTTCTAACTTCAACCCAGAAGTCCCAACGAAAACACAATAGGCACATCTGCATAGCCCTTTGTGATTTATAGACACAATTCTATCTATCATACCCTCCCTGTGACACGTATAAGGCAGATAACGTCACCTGCCGTCAAAGGCCGGGGCGCTCCTAGTGACCGGCGGCCCGGAGAGGCCCTCCGCGGCACGTCACAGCTCAGAGCACCTGGGAACACAGGAAGTCGGCCCTGGCGCTTTTCAAAGACCACAGCTCCTTCCGGCGACAGTGGTTCCAAAGAAAGAAATCTCAAAATGATTATTTTCTCCTCCGGACTGGAGACATAAGGACCTACGACATATGTAAAAACAATATTTATTAATTCCGCAGGGGCACAACCATTTGAAGAGAAAGGCTCCGTGTTTCCCATTTCTCCCTGTCACGAGTGCTTTTAAAAAACCTTTGGGCAATACGAGGAGAAAAGTGTTTGCTTACTGAAATTGTGTTTGCCACCAGGGCACGCCAATCTGTTTGCTGAACACGTCAGGGATGTTGGCTAATACTTTTGTATTTCTTGCCAGAAACACACCATAGCTCACAAACTGATATGGTAATCCCGTTGAAAGATATGACACAGAGCCACTTCCCCTTAAAATTCAGAAGAACGCCTCGATCAGCAGACTTCATAGAGAATGGACCTAAAAATCTTACTCATCAGACACAAGACACTGCAATCACCTGGAGAGCTTTTAAAAATACCAATGTCCAGGTTCCACCTGCAGAGATTCCGATATAATTGTCCTGGGGTGTGGCCTGAACATTGGACGTTTAAAAGCTCTCCTGGTGACTCTGGTGAGCATCCAAGGTTGAGACCACAGGTACAGTAAGTAAGGTACACACCTGCCTGCTTGCCTAAAAAGTTACTCACAGACACCAATGATGATGAGCAATTTCCCAATTAAAGATCATTTGATGACATGGGTTTAAATTTTCAGACAGTCTGTTCGCTGCATAATTGAAAAGTCCTGATTATCATTCCCCTGGTCTTAGCATATCTTGACCACCTTAACCTGGAAATGCAGATAAATATACGAGTCATTTTAAAAGTACTAACATCTATGCAGTACTTTGAGATTTAGAAATATATAAATACGAAGTCACGTTTAACCGTTACAAGAACTATGAGATAAGTAAGGGTATTCATTTCTTATCGTTGCTGTAACAAATTATTATAAGTTCAGTGGCTTAAAACAACATGAATTTATTCTTATTGTTCTAGAGGCTAGATGTTCAAAATTAGTCCACTTGGGCTAAAGTCAAGGCATGGGCACAGATGGTTCCTTCCGAAGGCTGAGGGGAGAATCCGTTTCCTTGCCTTTTTCAGCTTCTAGAAGCCGCCTGCATCCCTTGACTCACGGCCCCTTCCTCATACTCCTCTGCTGCCTCTCCCTTATAGGGAAGGACCCTTGTGATTACATCGGACCCATCCAGGATCATCTTTCCATTTCCAGATCCTTAATCACCTCTGCAAAGTTCCTTCTGCCATGTCAGGTAACATCGTCAGGTTCCAAGGCCTGGGACAAGGACATCTTTGGGGCCATTATTCAGCCTACCACGGAGTAAGCAAACATCCCCACCAACCATTATACCCACTGCCCTGCACACCATCCTCATTATTCAATGGAAACTGAGGCTCAGGGCTGCACGACCTGACCAGTCTCACGTCTCCAGCAGGGCTGAATCTAAACCTAATCTTATAACTCCCAGCCCCACTTTCTTTCTGGCACTCCTGTCGCCTCCCCGCGATGAGGTGATGTTTGCAATATTCTTTTCTTTTCCAAGCTTTCGCCATACTGAATGAGACATGTTTTCACTTTGCCCACACATTACCTCTGTTCGTCAACCAACACACGCCAAGTGGCAACCTCCAGTGCCACGTACCGCCACTGGTTAACCTGTCTCAAACCAGACCCCCTCCCCACGGTCCAGAAGAACCGGCAAGCCCCCTGAGGTGGTAATTCATCAGACAGACTTCGATGCCACAGCTATCTGAGAGACGACTCACGCAAGAAAGTACATGGGGGTGGGAAAAAGCAAGCCCTCAGTTATGACAGCAAAGCCATCTGAACTTGCTAAGGCACACATATGCACCGTAACCGTCTCCAGGAAAACCTGTAATAGGTGATGTCCACATCCTCCATGTTCGAAACAACCTACTCAGGAGTACATGGGAAATTGTCCTCTCGGTCATTTTCCATAGTTCTTTTCTCTCTTCTTCTCAACGGACGGAAGTCAAGAGGGCTGACGGCTGAGGGCTGGTAATCAGAGTCTCGGTGATCTTCTGGAATGTGGCATATCCTGGCTGGGGTAATCGGGAAGCAGGGGGTGAAGGCCTTCTACATGAAGGGTATTCTAATCTGACGGTCACACTGTCACTGCTGCCTTGGAGTTTCAAACTCCTCTGCTCGCACTAGCATAGCTCGTCAGGCAGAGAAGAGCCTGGCGAATCGCTGAATCACAGCCACTTTAACAGCAAGAGAAAATAAACAAGCCCGGCGACTCTCGCCGCCAAGCTTAGACCTTGCCTGAGTCCGTGTTCAGTCTGCCGTGAAAAGGAAGAGAAAATCAATGGCTCATCAGAATGCAACTGGTGTGAACCCAGCAACTCATCGCTCCGTCCACAAGACAATAAAATCACCGCAGACAGGGCTCTTAAAGGTCATGCGGAAGAATTCGGACAACCAGAATACACTATACTGTAAATAAGCTAACGTGGCGGGGAGGAGCGACCGTGCTGGAACAGACTGTGTGGCCTGTGCCCGTGCCAAATCCATGCTCTGAAGCTATAATCTTATGAAATGATAACCAATATTTGGAATGATTCTAAGGGGCGGCGAGATTCTGTGACATCGAAAAGTCAGTTTTGGTCACTAATTCAGAAAAGCAAACCAATGCATTTGGTAACGCTTTTCAACAAGGGTAACAACATAAGGAAATTCTGGTTTACCAGGAGTCAACCATAAACACGTAAGAAAAACAGGATGTTCTAGTCTGTGTGATTCATTATTTTGGTAATACCACAACCTCAAAAATAGCCTGGCTAAACTAAACACCTGCGAAGTACTCCTTACTCCATATTTAAATATGGACACTTGATATTTCCCTGCATCCAGGCCGTAGAAGAGCCCCAAGTTCCCGTCCCGGCTCTGCCTTAACTCACGGCACAACCTGGACCAGTCTCTCAACTCCTCTGGATCTCAGCTCTCATGAATAAAGTGGGAGGGCTGGACAAGATGATCTCCAAGACCTCCTCCCCTTCTGACTCTAGAAGCTTCCAGAAGGTCCATTAACAAAATTTACTGGCTGACTTCAACCTGAAAATAGATTCGAACTGAGTTGGTGAGTCAAGTGAAGACAATGCAGCTGACGTTCGAGATTCTCCAACAACTAAAAGCTGGAGAACACACATAAGGTGGAGAATGGCGCGGTGACATATACAACGGGTATATCTCCTGGGAAAGCCACAGAGCTTGGGGGTCCCAAGAGTTTGTTTCGCAGACCCCCGAGGACACTTATATAGTTATCTGAAGGAGGGTCTTGCACCTTCATGTTGCCTTCAGCACTCAGAGCTCCCCAGGTACAGGCACAGAAGGGATGGGAGGGGTGGGGGTCATCCTTGGGGTGCGGATTCCCTATGAAGCATCATCGCTGGGGCCCTCTGGCCACTGAGGGTTCATCACAGCATTCAAGGTCACTGTGATCCAAGGATGGCTGTTCACTGGAGCTGGAAACTGACTATCTGAAGGGGTGTGTTACTAGGGGTGGAGGAGGAGGTTGATATTGCTGCCTTTGTCCTCCTGGGGGGTCCGCAGAATTAGCCACATAAGAAAAGTAGGTTCACAGAGCTGTTGAACTCACTCCCTCGGGATTCAGATCCCCAAACGGCTAGTTCTGTGAAACAAATGTGCTGGCTTAAGTGGGAGCCCAGAAAAAAAGTGACAGGAAAATTGAGGACTCGCTATAAAACTCATCTCCAAAAAGCCATAATTATCGCAATAGTGTCACCTAAGCATTATTTACAAACATCCTTCTGCATAATTCCTCTTCAAATGGCCCTCATCTAGACTATAGTGCTACTACTCAGGATAACATTTTAAAACGAGTAATAAAACAAGGAAAAACCAGCATTTTCCAATCAAAACTCTGAGGCGAATATAAATAGATGCAGGGGAACAGGGATAAAAGAGAATCTGACTTTTTACCTTTGTGCCGATAATTCCTATGTATCAGTCGTATAATATATCAGTTTTCAAACACTATTTTGTATATTATTCACTACATAACCCCCAACACTAAAAGAGGAAGAAAGTGTAGAAATTTTTCTAATTTGCAGATGAGAAAACTTGAGACTTTAAGGAAATTAAATAATTCATCCAACGTCCAGTCACAACGACAACAAAAAAAACACGGATCACCCAATTCCTATTGCAATGCCTGAAACACCGTGTCCACGTAGTTTTATTTTCATGGTGAAGCTAAAAGAATTTGCATGTCAAAAGCTGTTATATATTTTGGCTGGGCCTTGCTTCTGAATGCATAGGGCCTCAGAAGACTCTGGTTTGAATCCTGGCAAAATTAAGCAAATTTCTAACAGCCACATAAACGGAGTTTTCTCTACGAGCAGAGACAGTCAAGACAACGCTCCCCCTCAGTCGGTTATTGGGACTGCAGTTCCTCTCCTCACTTACTGTTCCTGTGTTCCCATGAGCACGGCTCATGGTTCACGACCATGTTCTCATCATACGGGGGCACGAAAGGAGCCAAGAATCCCACACTCCACTTCCACGTCTTCCAGGCCCTGGCCAGTGATCAAAACTATGACTGTGCCTTTGCTCATTCCGTTTTTGGGCGGGACCATATCACAAAACGTGTCAGCCTCAGCCCTGTGAATCGATAGTCATTTAAAGTAAATTTATTGTGGACGTGTATCAGCATCTACGTTCGATAGTATTTTCCGAAATAAAGCATTTGCCCTGTGATTATAAATAATCAGATAAGTAAAACAGCAGCAGCAGCAAAAATAACTCCAGTCTGCGCCGAGGTGGTGGATATGAGCTCAGCTTTATTTTGGGATCTTCTCTGTCACGAAATCTATTGAAATTAATCAAGCAGGGCTAAGACCCTATAACAAGGCTGGGCAGGACGACTGCCCTGTCCCAGGCATTGGGTGTCCCACCTGGAGGTCAGGCTGCCCCAGCCCTGATTTCTCCCAACTGCGATCCCTTTCCCCACCCCCAGGTTCTAGGACCAGCCCAAATCTTAATGGGGACATCCAGGTAGCTTTGGAGCAACTCTCTGGGGCCCCCACCCAAGTCCCCTTGACTGCCAGCGCTGCTGTGACTTCCTGCCCGGGGCTCCTCTACCTTCATGTGAGTCCTTTCTGGGTTTCTTAGCCCTCCAGGTCTGAAGCTCACTGGACTCCTGGCTGCCCCTCCCACCTCCAAGCCACCTGGACCTGCCAACCCTACAACCCGGCACCCTGAACCGGGAGTCCGCCCCTGCGATATTGCCACCTCTGGAAAAAGCCACCAGTTCTATCTCCTCCAACATCCTATTGCAATTCGTCACGCCGAGGGGACACGGGAGGTCCCCGGCCCTCCTGCATTTCCTCCGCTTAATCTGAAGGTGGACATCCACCTAGGGCCCCCACCAGGCAAGGCCACGGCACGCCTTCCGGGCCCAGCCAGGCCCTGAGAACAAGACTGGCACCCCTCAACCGGCCCTCTGCATTTCAGATCTAGTTCTTCCTGAAATACCTCGGTCCAAGCCACTCTGTCAGCTTTTACTATTTATCCGTGAAGAGAGCTAGTGAGGGGCTCTCCTCATCCTCACCCCCATTTACTTGAGATCCACCAGCAGCTCGCATACAGCAACCTATTAATTGCTTGCAGACATCATGATACATCACGTTTCACTTTTTTCACACAGAGATGAGAAACTTGGGATCCTTTATAATACGAAATGTGCTTAAGTTTAGTGGGCAAGACAAGGGCAAAACCAGGGCGAAGCTCAAGGTCTCCTGGCTTCCTTCTTACTGCATGGACGCTGTTTGGGGAAAGTCCGTGTTTCTTATAGATGGGGTGATGTCAAGTACTGAGTGCAGGAGGGCAAAGGAGGAGCTTCTAACCCACGCGGGCTGATCGGATGCCCCGCAGCCATGACCCCGTATTACGGACCATTGGAGCTGAGTGCTGGGCCCTGCAGTCACCGTCACCTGAAGGCACCACTCAGGAGCCGGCGCATACTCACGCCACCTCGCAGGGTGGGACATATGTGTTTGCTCAAATTCCCACCTCAGTACTTCTGATAAAACCTATTGTTTCCAATATAACCGGAAGGACTTTTGTTCCTCCCGGTGGTCCCATCGAAGCTTCTCGGTGCCAGGCTCAGCTGACTTCAGCGAAATTGGCGGCAGACCATCAGAGAGCTGTTCTGGGGCTGATTCAAACTCTGAGTTGCTTCCTAAGGGTACACGATGCTCTCACAGACCATGTTCCCAGGGGCTCACGACACAGCCATCAGAGGCATAAGGTCACGGCGACCAGCTCTGGGAGGAGCCAGGATGGCATATGCTGCCCTCCGAAAATGCGCTTGAAGCTGCAATAGGACTGAATATCAAACCACCTATGCGTGTGGGGGGCCGGGGGAGTGAGGGTGATAGGTTGAATGGTGTCACCCAAAAAGGTATGTTCTGAGGTGTATCCCCAGTATCTCAGAATACTGCCTCGTGGGAGGCAGGGTTGCCGCATGTTTAGTGAAGATGAGGTCCTACTGGATTAATCCAACACGACTTGCGTCCTTAGGAAGAAGAGAAGTGACAAGTGAGGAGAGAAGGCCATGTGATGACAGGCAGAGATCAGAGCGAGGCATCTACAAGCCCCTGGAACTGTGAGGGGTACATTTCCGTTGCCATAAGCCACCCAGTTTGTGGTACTTTGTCAGAGCAGCCCTAGGAAATGTGTGAGGGGTGCATTTCCGTTGCCATAAGCCACCCGGTTTGTGGTACTTTGTCAGAGCAGCCCTAGGAAATTAACACAAGGGAAAAACGAACAGCTGAGGAATCATAAAAAACCTCTCGATTCAGAAGCAGCACTGAACAGGAGAGAGAAAATGCCTGTCTATGCCAAGGGGCCCGTTTCATAGCCTGGCCGCCTGCCTGGCTGGCCCGGAGGCAGAAAGACCAGCCCTGAGTCCCTCAGAGGGAACGTCCTTCCCCTAAGAAGCCAGACTACCTAAGTCAGGGCCTACGCTGGAGGAGAAATGGGGAAGGGTAGGAACCGAAGGTGCTTTTTCTCCCTGTTCACACACAGTCCTTCTCCCCCACCCCCCACCTCCCCCGACCCTCACAGTTCCTCTGCCTCACACACTTGTAGAAAGGGATTAGGGGTTTTCATACCTATGACCACCCTTCATCTTCGTTACCATGTACAGGGCAGGGAAGGAGGGCGGGCGCCATCATTCCCTCTCTACACATGAGGAAACTGAGGCACAGACCAGATCAGGGGCTGCCCACAGATGAGATGAGCATCCTGAAAAGAACTTCTGTTGACAAAGTAAAAGGCTTTCAAAAAAACGTGTGGCGGTGGGGGTGGGGTGGGGGGTGGGGTAGGCGTAAGAAACAGCCCTAAATCTTGTTTTGTTTTGTTTTTTAAAAGACGAATTAAACGAAAGTTCCAAAGGAAATCAAATTTGTTGGCCTTGAAAAGTAGCCCCTTTCCCTTTTCCAGCCGTTGGGATGACACTGCTATAGACACAAACTGCCAATTCTCTGACCGGCTTTCCACATTGAAGGGTCTTCAAGGAAAAGAATTGAACACGTTTTCCAGGCTTGACAGGTAAGGTCTCTGGCCTTGGCGTTCTATCTCGCTCAGGGCTTCGGAATCGTCGCGTACTCCTGTGTAACCACCAGGCCCTTCCACGCTCTTGTCACCCCCCAAAGGCACACCTTCCTGAAGCTGGAATTCAGAGCGTTTGTTTGAGAGGCTGGAGCACCCAGACTTATGTCCGACAATCTCTGATGGCTGAAGGAGCCCTTTCCACAGCAACATCCAGTAAGGGGAACGAAGGCAGGGACAGAGTGGGTGGCAGGTGCCCCAGGAAAGGATAAGCTTGAAAGGCTTAAGCTGAAAAGCACTGACGATAAGAAATGTGGGTGGAGCGCTCTCTCTAATCAGCTGCCTTTTCCGTATATCTTAATCTTTCTTCTCTGGGAAACGCCCCATCACTGGTCACCAAGAAAACTCGACTTCATTTTTCACGCTCCCAAACTTGCAGCCAAGATGTTGGCACATACACCCCCCGCCCCAATACCCACCACTAGCGACTCTGGGAAATGACATCCAGGAATGGCATTTCACATTTTGCCAGCTTGAAAATATTAAACACCACTGAAAAAATTTAAGGTTTCTTTTTCAGATTTAAATGTCTACTTACTTCAAAATGAATTAATAGTTCTCTGGGTTTCATAATGTTTAATTCATTAATGATAACTGCAGCTCAAAAATTTGAAAGGAAATTGCTTCCAGGATAAAATTAAATGTGAAACTCTAAGTAGTGATTCATGGCTGTTCCTATCTAAATTACTAATCCATGTGACAAACCTGGTTGGCCGCACAAAAAAGCAATACTATTTCCTCCCATTGCCTTTTTAAATGTTGCTGAATTGTTTTGCAAACTGACTAAACCCAAGTCCTAGATAATCCCCTGCTAGCAGCCTCCATTCCAGTGGTGGAATTTAGTACTTAGAATCTTTCTCACCTCAAAAAGGTTCATAATGAACTAATACTTTTGTGCCTCAGAAAAGAGTTTTCTCAACATTAGAGTTTAGACATATAGTCGAATCGATTTCCCAGGAAACTCATTTTAAATTGAACGCAAATGTCCCTGCAGTATCTGTCCACACGTCCCCAAAGAAACCGCATAAAATTCTATAAATATGGCCATTTTCTTTTAGTTGACAAGGAAGACTAGCCGGCTGAGGTTCAATGTCGTATTCCCTTTTAGAACAAGTGGGCCCTAGAGTAACCACATTGTCCAAAAGACAAGATAATATCATGCTTCTGAAGCTTCATCATGCTCTGGTGATTCTGCCTCATAAAATTTCTCTTAGGTCTATTGCTACAAGCACCATAGGCTAATGAAGAAGCCGGCAGGGACAGTCCTGACCATGTACCCCCTACCTCCGAAGCTCGGAGAACCACGTCCCACAGGGCACACCTCACTGGCAACTGCAACTTTGCAAACCAGGTCCCTTGTCTCCAGCCTCTCCCTCACTCCCACCATCCTGTGAACTGCCCCTAAATGGCAAGTCAGACCCCAGCCAGTCCTCAGGGGTGCTGCCCTGTGCCAGGGCTTTCCACGTGGTGACTCCTTTATCCTTGGGACCACTTAGGGAAAGCATCCCCATTGCCCTCATATTGCAGATCAAGCGATGGCAGCAAAGACGTTTAAAACACAGTTACGGAGTAACTGGCAGAGCCAGGATTCTCACCCACCCTTTCTGCCCGGTTTCCCACGCCTCAACCATCTGATGATGCCACACTACAGCTTCAGACATCCTGCTCGCTCCTTATTACCAACAGAGTAGGGTCCACAGGCCCACCAGGGTCTACTGGTCCTTGCCCATGACCTGCCCGTGTTCCCACGGCTTAGCAGGGCCGTGGTGAGATAGTCTATAACCTTTGGAACTAATGACTGCTCCGGCAA